GCCCCTCCCGCCAGGCCCGGCCCTCGAGAGGACATGGGACCTGCGCCCCACGTGTCAGACCACAACTCCCACTGAGGAGCGCAGAGCACAGCCTCCACCTGCCCATCTGCCCTTGCGCCCGGCCGCCGGCAGCCTCGGGGGAGCCCGGAAAGCCCCTCCCAGCGGCCACCCTCCCGGGGAGGTCCCTGGAGCACAGACACCACGAGGCCCATCGGCTGCGGCTGCAGGGCCCTGCCCCACGATGTGCCACAAAGATGGGGGGGCGGGGCACCCAGAGGCTCCGTGGGCACATGGTCCACCTGCCCCCCGGCTGCCCGTGTCACAGGCTGCTGAGGGCAGCAGCAGGCCCACTGCACCGTGGGGGCTCCGGAAGGCAGTGGGGAGGGGGGAGCACAGAGCTCACGGCTGCACTGGCTGGACAGGGAGGCTCAGGACACAGCCGTGGGCGGATGGAGCGACAATCACAAAAGCAGGAGCTGAGCAAGCTGGGGACCTGGGCTCTGCCGAGGCCGCGTGGAAGCCCCTGCACCGCCAGGAGACGCCCAGCACCCGCCGGCACTCGAGCCGGATGCAGGAGCGAGGCTGGGGAGACGGGATTTGGTGCTTAAGTCTGAGGGGACGAGGGGACGAGGACCCTGGGACAGCAGGTGGGCACGGCTGCAGGGAGGGAGCTGCCGCATCAGGGACTCACACAGTGAGCACGCACACACTCAACACGGACACACACACACGGGACGACACGCGGGACCAGGCCACACGCCCCAGCGGCTGCTCCCACGTTGGGGCCTGGAGGGGCTGGGGTGTCGACCAGGGCGCCCAGTGGGTTCGCCTCGGCTCCAGGGCAGGGCCTGGGGCACACGTGGGCATGGGCCCCGGGGGGACTCACTCGTAGAAGTGCGCCTTGGAGATGGACAGGAAGCTGCAGTCCCTGTTGGCCCTGATGGTGAAGATGAGGGGCTCTCCCGTGAGCACGGCCAGCTGGCCCACCATCTCCCCGGGCCGCGTCACGAACAGGCAGCTGTCCTCCTCGCTGTCGATCTTCCGCTGGTACACGTGCAGCAGCCCCGAGACCACGAAGACCACGTTCACGTCCTGCCAGGCCAGGCCAGGCGGTCAGTGCGGCCCGACAAGGCGCCCGCCCGCTCCCATCACAGGCATCCCGGGTCCGACCTCAACAAGGGAAACCACGCTCATGCCAACCCCACCTTATTTGTCCGCACGAGGCCTCTCTCCAAACCTGCTCACCCTGCCCCCCGGACCTCGTCCCTATGGTCTGGGCAGGAAGGGCCAGAGACCAAAATGGACTTGGCCAGTGTGGGCACAGGCCGTGTGGGCACAGGCCAGTGGGCAGCTGGGGGTCAGGCCGAGGGCGCAGAGGCCCTGGAGAGGGCTTCCCACAGGTGCCCAAACCCGGAGTCTGGGAGGCAAGCCAGCGCCTGCCTCCTGTGAGGATGGGGAAAGCCCTTCTTTCCTCTGAGGGGTACAAAAGCGAAGGGAGGGTGCGAGTAGTGGGAGGGTGGGCACGTGCCCAGCCCGAGAGGACAAGCCTGGGAGAGCCCTCTGGGACAGGGATGAGGGACTCGCCCGTGTCCCGAGGGCTCCCACAGCGTCGGCACCGTGAGCGTCCCCTTGAAGCCAGGCCTCCTGCTCACCTGGTCTCCCTGCTTGGACACCACCGTGCCCCCCGGGACGTGCAGGAACGTCACGCGGCCGTCCAACAGCGAAGGGTCCTAGGAAAAGAAACGGAGTCAGCACAGGAAGCTCAGAGCAGCCAGTGCAAGCGGAGGCCGCCCTGGCACCCTGCCACCCGGCGCCACCGTGTGATGGCGCCCAGCAGACAGTGCGGCCCGCAGAGCGCCAGACGTGCAGCGGACACCTTGGCGACCTGAGGGACAGGGGACTCGAGCCGGCGTCTCGTGCAACGCGTCCAACGCCCGCTGCTGTGGACCCAGTGCGCACCGAGCCCAGAGGGGCCGCGGGGGCAGTGGGAGGCCGGCCTGCAGCCCTGGCCG